TGCCTCCCTTCTGTTTAAGTGTTCCTAAGACTTTGCAACGCAAGGCTGGGGTTTCCTGATGGAGCCCTCAGTTTTTCTTTTCAACTCCCTTCAAATGGATTGTTTCTTTGTATGATGGCTTGTCTTTCTTCCCCTGGTCTGAGTTCATGAGGCAGGGCCAAGCTTGGGTTTGCTATCTTTGTCCTGGGCTGCAAAGTGTCTCTGCTGCTCCTTCCCTGCCCTGGGGAGTAGTGTCCTCTCTCCTGTCTGCCGAGCCCCCGTCTGCCCCCTGCCATTCCTCCTGGGTCTTCCCCGGGTGACCCTGCCGAAAGCTTGCCCAATCCTGTTGCTTTAGGACCCTCCATTCTTGCTCTCTCTTTTAGATTGATATAGTGCAGGGAGGGCATTATGTTCTTCCTCCTGCTTCTCCATAAATGACTTTCTTACTTCTCCTGCAAACCACCCCAAACAAGCCACAACTCTCATGGGAAAAAAAAAATCATGTCTCAGAAACTCCTTCTGTTTTTTGTCCCTTCCCCCCTCTGAAGCAATGAAACACACAGCAGCTCCCTGCTTGGCTTCATTCATTCATTCAACAAATATTCATTGACAGTCTACTATGTGCCTTCCTGAACAAAAACACAGAAATCCCTGTTCTCCTTGAGCTTCCATTTGAGTGGAGAGAAAGAAATAATGAATAATGAGTAAGCATATTAAAGAGTGATAAGTACTATGGAAAAAAAATAAAGTAGAGTAAGCGGGACCAGAGGTACAAGGGAGACTGCAGTTTTACGTAAGGTGGTCAGGGTGGCCTCACTAAGAGAGTGACATTTGGGAAAGAAAAGGAAAAAATACAGGGAGAAAAATATGCATTAAAAACCCTTTGGCATTTCCTTATTGTCCCTGAATAAAGTCCTGACTTTAAACATGGCCTTCAGGTTACTGGTGTCCTGGGCTCTTTCTTTCTCCACTTACCAGCACAAAGTCCACTAAAGGCACACACACACACACACATGCACACTGTTTCCATACTCTGGCCAACCTTGAATGTGCACGCTGTCCCTGTGCCACATACATCAAATACATAATGCTGCTCCTGACATACAGATAAAATAATAGAGGCATCATGTGGGAGAACATGGGAGGTTAGCTGAATGGAGCCATATGGAAAACATACAGAAGTCCTGGCCATAAAGTATTCAACTCCACCATAAGCTCACTTACAACTGCAGACCATCAGCATGTAAAGGGGCAGTTACAAGTCATCCATTCCACCCTTCACTGTACAGATGGGAACACCAAGGCCCAGAGAGGAGCGGTGACATGCTTAGGGTTACACGGTACTGTTTGCACAAGACCCGATATTCTGCAGGAATAACATTTTGTGCATGTGGTCTTTCCGTGAGATCTCAAGTTCCTCTACTAAACCTCACAAGGAAAAATGACCGGTCGGATTTCCCCTCCACCACCTGACTATGGATGAGCTCAGCAGCTGGGTTAAAGGGCCCCTCAGTGATCATTGTGACACCTGAAACAGCACCTTTTCTGACTGGGGATTCTGTCCTGGGGGCTCTAGGTGTGTGCTGGAAAGGCAACGACAGATTCTCTGTCGTTCCTTGAGAAGAGAGGAGTCAAAATACAAATCCAGAAAGAATCTTTTGCCATGGACCAAGGCTTGGGTGGCTGTGGTGTGATCTTATGATCTAGAATTCTGTGGTTTGCATCCAGTTCTCTTTTTGGGGACTGGAGGGGGGAGGGTCTCTGGTGGCTCGAAAGGAATGGGGCACTTTATGACTTTAGGACTAAGTGTCATAACCATAACACCCATAAAGAAGTTAGAACTAAGTGTGAAGGTCATCAGATTGTGAAAAAGCCAACAAAAACAGTCAAATGAATAAGGCTGTGTTGCCGATCCTTAGATGGGGGTGGGGGGGTGGGGTGAATAGGAGCTGCCTTGTGTGAAGGTCAAATCTTCTTTCTCCTGCTTTCCAGGTGAGGCCCAGAGAGGTGAAAAAGCACACCCAAGTCCCCAAATCCCTTCCCAGGTCTTGAGACCCGGATGCTTCAAGGATGCCCATAGCCCTTCTCCCCATTGCTTCCCTGCTTCCCCATGGCCAAGCACATCCCAACAGCAGCTGCCCTCTCTCCCAGACCTGTCACAGTGCCTACTGCCTGTGTGCTTTCTCTGAGGCTTCCCCAGTCCCTCACTGCTCCCTAACCCCCATGGGCATTCAGATTGAGGCTCTTAGAAGCTGTGTGACCTTGAACAAGTGGCTTGACCTTTTGCAGATGGCTTCCTCTCCACAACAGAAGTATTTGCTGCTAATGATGATAATGTCTACCATTTATTGAGCAAGCTCCCACTGCTAAATTTTATGCTGAGAATTTAACATGCATGTTTTCATTTGTCTTACAATATCTCTATGACATAGATTCTATTATTATTTTCATTTTACTGACCAGGAAACTGAGAAGGCTCAGAAATGTAAAGCTATTTGCCTAGGTTCCCATAGCCAATACTTGATGGCTCTGGATTTGAACTGAGGTCACACCTCAGGCTCAAGTCTCTGCTAATACTGTCCCTGGTAAGGTTTCTCTGAGAAGCCCCTTTACTCATAGGATGATCGGCAAGGGTTCCTAAATATATTTAAGAATTAAATGCTGTTAAAAGTCACCCTCCAAAAACACCCCAACAAAAAACTGGATCAATGGGCCGGCCCGGTGGCGCACTGGATAGTGCGCCGCTTGGGAAGCGCGGCGGTGCTCCCGCCCGAGGGTTCGGATCCCACATACGGACCGGTTCCCGCTCACTGGCTGAGCGAGGCACGGGAAGCGGCACCGAGGGTTGCGATCCCGTTGCCGGTCCCCGGTCCGGTCGGATCCCACATATGGACCAAAACCCGCTCACTGGCTGAGCGAGGCACGGGAAGCGGCACCGAGGGTTGCGATCCCGTTGCCGGTCCCCGGTCCGGTACGGGGGCAACACTGAGGGTTGCGATCCGTTGCCGGACACGGAAAAAGACAAAAGACAAAAAAAAAAAAAAACTGGATCAATGAAATGGACAGGTGATACACAAAAATGCAAATAACACGAAAAAAACGTTTACCACCCTAAGAACAAAAACAAAAAACAAACACACACAAAAAAAACAATAAAATTACAACTGTGCAATGCTTTTGGCTTATCAGATTGGAAAAGACGTTTTTAAAAAAGAAAAATGTAATTATCTTTTAAAATCTACATTAAAAGTCTGGGACATAATTGATTTAATTTTCTCCTAATTTGTTGCTATTACGTCCATAGGACGGACTTCTCAGTTTCAGTTCCTCATGCATTAAACTTGCTGTGTTTTATTACAAAGAGCAATAGACATTTTTACGATAATTGCCAAGACAAAGTCAAGTCAAAACAGTAAGGGGCTGGGCCGGACGTGGCTGCGGTGCTGATAACACCAAGGCCCTGGGTTCGGATCCCATATAGGGATGGCCAGTTAGCT